CCCCCCCCCCCCCCCCCCCACACACATCTTCAAGGAATGCTCCCAGGACAGAGGGGCTTTAAAGGGCTGAGGGTCCCAAAGCAAGTCACGCCTGGCCCCCAGTCCTTGCTCATCCCTAGATCCTCTGGCATCAGACAGGATGTGCACAACAAGGGGGCCCAAGTGACCTGTCTAACTGAGAGGACACGGTCCAGGAGTAGCCCCTGTTCTCCCTCTGCTTCTAGCACAGGTTTTCCTCTTCTCCAGGCCCTGGCCAACATGGGAAGGCAGCAGGGCCCCCAAAAGCAGGAAAACTCATTAGCTAATGCTTTGTGGAATCCATTGCTGCTGGAACCAACTCCAGAGTAAAGTGTCATGATTGTGGTGATGCTGACTGGAACAGCAAGAAAACTGAAAGGAAGAAGTCCTTTGCCCTTCATCCTTCACCCGTTTCCTGCCTCCCGGTGTTTTCATAAGCACAGTAAGAGGAGCTAAGAAGCCTCCCACAGAGACCTCCCACAGACTTCACTGAGACCTCCCACACAGACTCACACTCAGATATCTCACACAGAGGCCTCATACAGAGACCTCCCAAAGAGAGATCTCCCACAGAGAGACTTCCTACAGAGATAACATGGAGACCACACACAGAGGCTCCTAGAGACTTCATAAGACCTCCCATGGAGACCTTGAAGAGAACCTCACACAGAGCCCTCACACAGAGATCTCTCACAGAGGCCTCAGAGACCTCCCACAGGGACCACACAGAGAACTCTCAGAGATTTCACACAGACTTCACAGATACTGCATGAAGAGACCCTCACACACAGACTTCATCCACAGACCCGCACCCAGAGACCTCAGAGACAGACAGTCCTTCGAAAGATCTCCCACAAAGACACCACATAGACTTCGCACAGAGATCTCCCATGGATGTAACACACAGTCCTCACATAGACACCTGGCAAAGAGAACTCATGCAGACCTCACATCCATCCTTCAGGAGCCTGAGCAGCCACCCACTGATAAGTCCTGAGTGGATACAAAACCACTTAGCAAACTGATAGGAGGACTGTCAGTAGCTGTGCATCCCAGAGATCCCTGAACACTCAGACATTGTCAGCATTGCTCCAAATGGGCTGCTCTGCTTGGGGAAATGGTCATGAAATTTTCTTCTTTTATAATGACACTGCTTCTGATCAAAGGAATTGCAGGTTACGCGTGTCAACATGCAAAAACCTTTCCTTCACAGGTTTTCATTAGCTTGAGCTCTAACCCACAGTTTAAAGAATCATAGCCTTTGAAATGTTGCCAGCATCCCATGATGGAAAACATCTCATTTGTCCAATTTTAGTTATCACCCAGTCAAATGGCATCAATGTCACATTTTTTATTTTGTTGGGGACAAGTTCCTACACTCAAGATGACTGACTTCTGTATTTTAGAAATATGAGGAAGAAAGTCCTACAGCAAATGGACTTCAGGAGTGAAATGAATCAGGAAAGATAGATCTTGATTCCCACTTGCTTCCAGGGGAGCTGTACAACTAGTACATTATTTTGCACATTTGTGTCAAGTTTGTAGGGTTTTATTGTTAAATGAAACAAGCTACATTAACAAGCATGTGAAGATGTTTCACAAATGAGACTGATTTCTACCGTATCCTCTAGCAAAATTATAAGGTCCCTAGGTGGCGCAAACAGTTTGTACTGGACTACTAACCTAAAGGTTGTCTGTTCGATCTCACCCAGTGGTACTTCGGAAGAAAAGCCCTGGCAATCTGCTTCCATTAAGGTTACAGCTAAGAAAATCCTTTGGAGCTGTTCTAGTATGTAACACATGGGTCGCCATGAGTCAGAATTGACTCCACAGCAGCTAACAACAACAGCAAAATTGTATTTACTATTTACTAACATTTTTTTCCTTAAAAATGTGGTAATGGCCTCAAATCATATTACACATATTCCCAAGATATGACAAGGTCTTTATGTTCAACTAACATAGATTATGATTATCTAGAAGGGATTATTTTTTAAATAATTCTAACAAATGCACATTTTCCAAGACTCCAACAGTCAGGCTCCTGTACTATATTTATTGCAAGGTTAAAAAAAAAAAAAGACACAATAATTTTGAAATCTTAGAAAACATATAACTTTATCTGTGCTTGAGATAAACATCTGCCCCAATAAAATTACTGGGAAAGTGGCATTTCAACAACTGAGTTAAAGAAAGTATACATTTACACAACATTTGTATTAAAATAATTATCAAGGGTCTCACTGCACAACTGACACTTTCCAAATGGAGCATTTAGATGAGACTCCATATTTCTTGTTGCTCATAAGCAGCCTGTTGTCCTTGCCTTAGTAAAATATAGATTGCTAACAGATGTCAGGTGTGTGTCTCTGGTTTAAGTCTTTCAGATTACCCATTGGGATGAGAGCCTCACAGTTCCTTCTCTAAGAAAGGGGAGTGAGCTGACACAAGGGCTCTTTGGGTGTATATATTTTTTATGAAGGATAAAACATAATCAGGCAGTAAAATGCTTAACAAAATCATAACTACTTTTTTAATATATATTTACTCCTACTCCATTAGTGAGATTTCTTTGATTGTCCTAGTTATCTAGTGTTGCTATAACACATATACCACAAGTAGGTGGGTTTCAAAGAGCACAAATTTATTTTCTCACAGTTTAGGAGGCTAGAAGTCTGAATTCAGGGCACTAGCTGTAGGGGAAGTCTTGCTGTCTTTTGGCTCCAGGTGAAGATCCTTTTCTCATTTTCTGTAACCCAGGCTTCAGCGTCTTCTGAGGAAATGCAGCTGATCTCTTAATTCCTTGGTGATCCTCTCCCCTCCCCCACCCCCACCCCCATTTGTGCTTGCTTTTGTGTCTAATCTGCTCTTTCATCACTCACAAGTGATATACCCTACACTGATATGGTTGTATTAACATAGCAAAGAAAACCCTATTCCCAAAGGGAATTACATCCACAGGTAAAGGGGTTAGGATTCCAAAACAATTTGTGGGGGGAACACAATTCAATCCTTAACAATAATGTTATTGAATCACAAAACTATGCAAAGTAGCCATGGATGTCTTCTATTTTAATAACCAGAATAACTCATCATTTCCGTTTGGACACAAATTCCGTGCTTTCCATCTTAATGTCCTACCACTACCACCAGTTGTTGTGGAATCAGTCTGACTCATGGCTACCCCATGTGTGTCGGAGTAGAACTGTCCTCCATAGGGTTTTCAATGGCTGATTTTCCATAAATAGATTGCCAGGCATTTCTTTCAAGATGCCTCTGGGTAGACTAGAACCTCCAGTCTTTGGTTTAGCAGCAGAGAGTGTTAACAGTTTGCACCATCCAGGGGCTCTACAGCCACGTAAACGAAGCTTCCTTCTTGGAAGTATAAGCCCGTATTTCAAAGTCACGTCTTTAAATGAGATGAAACTAAATTCTAGAAAAAGTTGTAAAATAATGCAACACTGGCAAAATAGACAAGGATTTAGAAAATGTGAGTGTCTTTCACAGGAAAACATGATTAC